GCGAAATGTTCTAGGGCTCAAGAAAAAAAAACCCCACCTGCGAAATTTCTACCCCTGGGGGTAAGATCCACTTCTCCACCTGGAGCATCTTCCACGTCGGGGTGAGCCCGTAGGTGTCAACGAGATTTCTGATGAGGAACACCTGAGGCCACGGCGTCGGAGCCGTCGCCACCAGCTTCTTCATGGCGTTCACCAGGTCTCGCTCCTTCTCGTTCTCCTCGGCAGCGGGCGCGTTGGGATCTGCGGCTGGAACGGAGGTTTCTCGTTACGCCCAGGCCCCCGGTGGCGACACGTCACACACGGCCTTCCCCAGCACAGCCCCTCCAGCTGTTTAGGCTCCAGGTTGCAGCGGGATCTTCTCCCCCACAGGTTGAAACGTGGCTTCAAGCCAACGTCCAGAAGGTCCCCGAAGACGGAGGGGAACACTTGGAGAACGCAGTGAGCCTGGGGACTGCAGCGCTGGGAAGTTCATCCAAAACAACTTCAATTTTCATAAAACCAGCGATTTTCCAAGTGAAAACCTCCAAGGCTAGACCGTTTTTTGGGGGTTTAGTCTCGACCTTTTTAGGGGTAGGCGCAGTTCTGACGCGACGCCAAAGCGAGAGAACTCACCGGAAAGCATCTGCCTGCCAAGCACGGTGGCCACGTGGCTGATGGAGAGCCGGAGCCGGGCGATGAACTGGAGGGTGTCAATTTTTGAGGCCTGGGGCTCGCAGGAAGCGGACAGGTCTGCAGTGGAGAGGCAGCTTTCTGCGAGCTGGCTGACGTCTTCTTCGGAAGAAGGATACATAAAATCCTGCGCGCGAGAGAGAGAGAATTTGTAAGAGTCGGGAGGAGGGTTCTAAGTGAGCAGCTCCTCCTCCTTCCTTGTGCCTTCTCCTCATCGTTAAGGTGCGCCCCTCCCTTGGCTCCTCATCAATGGGTGGTGGGGGGGTAATTAATGTGATTAATAGGTTTTAACTGGTGTGGTGGCTCCAGGTTCTGGCGTTTGCACCCCAACGGGGCCTCACCTCCAGGCAGTGCACCACCATGAAGTAGAAGTGCTCCACGTTACTCTGGTTGGTTATTATCTCCTCCATCGTGGACAGGTATTCTTCCAAGTGAACCTTGACGTTGTTGAACCTAGAGAAGAAAAGGAAACGGCAAATCAGCAGCCGCGTAGCTCGAGGGGCTCAGCCGCGGCGCCGGGGAGCGACCTCGGGGCTGACCCGCAGCGCAGCAGCAGCTTCAGGAGGGACGACTGGATGGTGGGGCTGGTGTCCATGCACTCCTCAAAGGGCGACAACTTGCTTTTCGGCTTGTACACTAAGAGAGAAACAAGAGACCCGTCAGGGGACATCCGAGAGCATGAGGTCAGACCCGGGTAGAGCGGACTCCGAGGTTGTTTGTTTTTTTTTTTTACCCTTTTTCCGCGCCTGATGCTCAGGGTTGGGCTTGCAAGCCACAAACTTGATCAGTTGCTGAATGATTTTGGCAGACGGCGCCTCCCTGTCGCCCAAAAAGTACATGGTGATGAACTCAACGAAGAAGGAATTGCATTTCCTCCGGAATTTGTTGTGACAGGCGACAGCTTCCCTGGAGGGACGAAGGAAAACGAGACTCGGGGTCAACCTCCAAGCAAGGAAGGAAATTACGTCCCCCTCTCTGCAGAGCAAAGGCCCCAGATCGGGGAGACGAGGGGGCACCAGCACCTTCCATCACGATATTTAACAAGAAGCCACTTGAGACGGGCAGTTTTGGGTCACCTTGTGGCCTCCGAAGCCGTGGGGGTGTAATCCTCCGGGAACTGCTCCTTGCAGATCTTACACTGCTTGTTCTCCCACTCCAGGATGCAGCGGGTGCAGAAGATGTGGCTGCAGGGCAGCTCCGCTGGGTCCGTGATCTCCCGCAGGCAGCTCTTGCATTCCTTCACGCCTTTCCTGGGGGACAGACACGAAAGAAGAGGCGACTCAGCATGGGTTTGAGGAGGGACACGGGTTGGCTCCTGCCTAACCTACGTCCCGGGGTGGGGATGGAGCTGGATGGGCCCTGGCGAGTCCAGGACCAGGGTGGTTCACCTCCGCTTGGAGAGCCAGCAGCTTCTGAGCTGCCTGAATCCCAGAACCCCGGAGTCACCTCGGTTGGAAAAGCCCTTGAGGCTCCTCCAGCCCAACCATGACACTCCCCCTGACCCCCCCAGTTCCCCCAGCCGCTCCCCAGCAGACCTGTGCTCCAGACCCTGCCCCAGCTCCGTTGCCCTTCTCTGGCCACGCTCGAGTCATTCAATGGCCTTTTTGGGGTGAGGGGCCCAGAACTGAATCCCCTCAGCGAGGGGCGG